GACTCTGTGTACTCTTGTCTGTTTAATCCACATATATAACCATATTTGTCTCCGTTTTCTATTAATAACAAGAGAAAATAGGAATAATTATCCGATGTCTGCAGTAATTTCACGTAAGAGTCATATGATTGATTTTCCTTCGGCAGAGATGGCGCTGATACTGTTGCTATATTTCCTATCTTATTACAAAACTAAATATTACGTCTCGCTCTCTTCTTGTGTGTTAAGAAATATATATTATCCATCTATATTGGAGAATGTCTGTTAAAGGCTGGAGGCCAGACACTTGGAGCTCGCCTTACCCAACTTTGCAGGGAGATTGGCAGCGGGTGGGGGAGTGCCATAGGCTGGTCGGGGACGCCACCGTTGCTCCTACTAAAAGGATAGGGAGTGGGGAAGGGGTAATGGGGAGGCTTGCCTAGCTACTCACACGAAATCTGTCTAAGGCAGCTGGTCGAGTTCCTAGGAATTGTTTACTTGGCGTTATCTTTGAATCTACAAAACTTAAGCTAGATCTATGTATCCCCATCTCTGTTCTTCATATTACATTGTCTGAGAAGAGAGAAATTACTGACTCTCACGGGCATGAAAGCAACAGTATGAAAAGCTATGATTTGTTTAGATCCGAAACCTATGTATATGGGCAGCAGAAAGCGTCCACCAGACTTTGCGACACAGTAGTTGCCAGGATCAGGTTGGGCTACCGGTACCTTGTGGCAGGTGGATCCAGGTGGATCTAGGTGGGTCTAGGTGGGTCCAGGTGGGTCCAGGTGGATCCAGCTGGGCCCAGGTGACACATTTACCCAATCCTGAGCACTCCAGGTGCAAACTCTGTGAGCAAGAGCTGGGGTCATGACCTCACACTACATTATTAAGAGTCCAGTCATTAGACGCTTCAGACCTGCCGGTATGAGGTACCTGGAGCTTTACAATTACTTTATAAACTCGCGTGTTCATAAGCATGTCCTAAAAATGCACCCCAAAATTTCCCAGTGCAAGTTAGTGATCACATGGTCCTGTACAACTATCCTCCTGCGAGATGGGAGAGACTTTTGAGCATGACTTAGCTAGGTCCTGACACACTATGTACCTTATCTTGAGGTGCTTCCGGGGCTTAGCGTCCCCGCGGCCCGGTCGTCGACCAGGACTCCTGGTTCCCGTATGTAACCCATACATATAGTCAAGGGTAGCTGCATAAATGCAGATGTGCCTAAATATGTTAAAAATGGAATAAATATAGAGCAAGGACTTGTTATTTTTACAAGACATTAAACAGATTTTAAAGGTCCACAACACCTCACAAAGTCCCACAATACTGAGTGTTTATCTTTTTTTTTACATTTGTTTTGCCTCATAATTGTATTTCTTCGCGTTAGTTTTGTGAGAGTGAAGGAGAGGGTGGCGGAGGTGACTCTCACCAGAGGCACTCACTATTTTTAGCTCTCACTGACGGGACGACCTGCAGTCTCGTCTTGGCTCGTCTCCCCTTACTTCTCTCTCTCTCTCTCTCTCTCTCTCTCTCTCTCTCTCTCTCTCTCTCTCTCTCTCTCTCTCTCTCTCTCTCTCTCTCTCTCTCTCTCTCTCTCTCTCTCTCTCTCAGGCAATTCTGGTTAATGCCTCTATAGTCATTAGTCCAGGAAATTAAGGATGTTTTTCAGCTCCGGTTGGAAGACATTGAGGGTCGGTGGTGTTGAGGCGTGACCCCCTTGATGTCACGTGTAGATACTCATAAATGTCTGGTTCTATGTGTACATGTAGTACTTATGTGTCCTGTGTACATATGTTTGTCTATGTGGTTACATACGTATGTGTCCCCCCCTGTGTACTTGTGTGTGTGTCTTTTAACGTATGTGTGTTTGTATGCACTGTGTACATGTGTGTGTGTTTTCATTGATATGGATGCACAAATTTATGTTTGTGTGTGTGTGTGTGTGGTGTAAACATACATGTGTTAATGTGTGTTGACATGTATGTTTGGATGCACATGTGTAGGTTTATGTGTGTAGGAGAGTGTGCACAACTCGTGGGATGATCCCCCATCCATCCAGCCACCAGCCACCAGCCATCTGTTGATGCTGGTGGATTCTAGTTCGAATAAAATTCCATTTAAGAGTGTAATGACCATTAGGGCCCCTTCCCCCTCCCCTTCCACTGACCCCCTCCCCTTCTTCCCTCCCTACCCGGCCCTTTGTGTCGATGGGGGGAGGGGGGGTCACCAGTGGCCCAACGGGAATTGGTTGGAAAAGGTTAAAAGGTCATGGTCAGCATTAGGAAGTTTTGAAGGGCAATAATATTGGCTTGGAAATGAACTCGAGGCGTATGTTTTTTTTGTGTGTTTCTCCTGTGCTAGAACTTTTTGTTTGGGTTTGAATAGACTTGGGTGTATGTTGGTGTGTGTAGATGTGATACTGGTGTTGTTGTCGTCCTACGTGCCTTGTCTTGGAGCCTGGTCCACCCACTTGCATCCTCTTGGAGCCTGGTCCACCCACCTACACCCTCTTGGAGTCTGGTCCACCCACTTGCATCCTCTTGGAGCCTGGTCCACCCACCTACACCCTCTTGGAGTCTGGTCCACCCACCTACACCCTCTTGGAGCCTGGTCCACCCCACCTACACCCTCTTGGGTCCTGGTCCACCCACCTACACCCTCTTGGGTCCTGGTCCACCCCAACTACACCCTCTTGGAGCCTGGTCCACCCACCTACACCCTCTTGGAGCCTGGTCCACCCCACCTACACCCTCTTGGAGCCTGGTCCACCCACCTACCCTCTTGGAGCCTGGTCCACCCCACCTACACCCTCTTGGAGCCTGGTCCCCCCCACCTACACCTCTTGGAGCCTGGTCCACCCCACCTACACCCTCTTGGAGCCTGGTCCACCCCACCTACACCCTCTTGGAGCCTGGTCCACCCACCTACACCCTCTTGGAGCCTGGTCCACCACCTACACCCTCTTGGAGCCTGGTCCACCCCACCTACACCCTCTTGGAGCCTGGTCCACCCCACCTACACCCTCTTGGAGCCTGGTCCACCCCACCTACACCCTCTTGGAGCCTGGTCCACCCCACCTACACCCTCTTGGAGCCTGGTCCACCCACCTACACCCTCTTGGAGCCTGGTCCACCCACCTACACCCTCTTGGAGCCTGGTCCACCCCACCTACACCCTCTTGGAGCCTGGTCCACCCCACCTACACCCTCTTGGGTCCTGGTCCACCCCACCTACACCCTCTTGGAGCCTGGTCCACCCCACCTACACCCTCTTGGAGCCTGGTCCACCCCACCTACACCTCTTGGGTCCTGGTCCACCCCACCTACACCCTCTTGGAGCCTGGTCCACCCCACCTACACCCTCTTGGAGCCTGGTCCACCCACCTACACCCTCTTGGAGCCTGGTCCACCCACCTACACCCTCTTGGGTCCTGGTCCACCCACCTACACCCTCTGGGTCCTGGTCCACCCACCTACACCCTCTTGGGTCCTGGTCCACCCCACCTACACCCTCTTGGGTCCTGGTCCACCCCACCTACACTCTCTTGGGTCCTAGTCCACCCACCTACACCCTCTTGGGTCCTGGTCCACCCCACCTACACCCTCTTGGAGCCTGGTCCACCCACCTACACCCTCTTGGATCCTGGTCCACCCACCTACACCCTCTTGGGTCCTGGTCCACCCCACCTACACCCTCTTGGGTCCTGGTCCACCCCACCTACACCCTCTTGGAGCCTGGTCCACCCACCTACACCCTCTTGGGTCCTGGTCCACCCACCTACACCCTCTTGGGTCCTGGTCCACCCACCTACACCCTCTTGGGTCCTGGTCCACCCCACCTACACCCTCTTGGAACCTGGTCCACCCCACCTACACCCTCTTGGAGCCTGGTCCACCCCACCTACACCCTCTTGGAGCCTGGTCCACCCACCTACACCCTCTTGGAGCCTGGTCCACCCCACCTACACCCTCTTGGAGCCTGGTCCACCCACCTACACCCTCTTGGAGCCTGGTCCACCCACCTACCCCCTCTTGGAGCCTGGTCCACCCACATACATTGTACTTCTCTCTCTTTCTCTCTAATTCTCTACATACCTTTTACCTTCACGACCGCCTCCAAACACAACCAACCTGCAGCACGCCTCTCGCTAGTCTCTTTTCTGCGCCCCTTCCATCACCTCTTCTCTTCTATCCTTCTCCTTCTATCCTTCTCCTTCTCCTTCTTAATTTCAATGGTAAATTTATATAGCATTTGTTCCGAAATATGGAATAACTTTACCATTTGACTGCCGAAGCTGCATCCTCAGTCATGGGGAGAGAGAGAGAGAGAGAGAGAGAGAGAGAGAGAGAGAGAGAGAGAGAGAGAGAGAGAGAGAGAGAGAGAGAGAGTGTGTGTTAAAACACAAAACACATGGTTACAGTGCCTCCTTTCTCCCTTATAGACAGCCATTACTGCTACACTGTCCCAACTCGTAGATTCTCTTAACGCCTTGGCTCTACAGTGCTACAGGGACTGACTTTGTGTGAATGATAGTGTCTGGGTTATCATTGTGCTGACCTGGCTTTATTGAGTAGGCGGCCCTAAGGAACTTTTATCTGTGTTGTCTTGTTTTACATAATAATAGTGTTACGACCTTCCTGTATATGGCAGTGTTAAAGTTACTCGGATCTTCCACAGATGGTGGTGTTAAATTAGTCATTTCTTCCACAGATGGCAGTGTTAGGTTGCTAATCTCTCCCACAGATGGCAGTGTTATATCACTAATGTCTCCAACAGATGGCAGTGTTAAGCTATGAATCTCTCCGACAGATAGCAGTGATATATCACTAATGTCTCCAACAGATGGCAGTGTTAAGCTACGACTCTCTCAAACCAAGGACAATATTATGTTGTGAATCTCTCCAAAAGATGACAGTGTTAAGCAGTGAATCAGTCCGACAAAGAACAATATTAAGTTGTGAATCTCTCCGACAGATGGCAGTGTTAAGCTATTAATCTCTCCGACTATGGACAATATTAAGTTGTGAATCTCTCCGACAGATGGCAGTGTCACAAGACAACCGCTGGCAGAAAGATGCCGCCGACCAGAACTTCGACTACATGTTTAAACTTCTCATCATCGGCAACTCGTCGGTGGGCAAGACCTCCTTCCTCTTCCGCTACGCTGACGACTCCTTCACCTCGGCCTTCGTCAGCACCGTCGGCATTGACTTCAAGGTCAAGACGGTCTTCAGGAACGACAAAAGAGTGAAGCTGCAGATTTGGGTAAGTCCCGAAGCCATTGATATACAAGGCTGTTGTTGTTGGTGGTGTTTTAGCTATTGATAACTTTATTATCGGAATTATAATTATTCAAATTATATCATTGGAGCTAAAAAATTAGGTGTCTTTTTAGTATATATATATATATATATATATATATATATATATATATATATATATATATATATATATATATATATATATATATATATATATATATATGACAATGTCAGACCACGGAGGAAAATGAAACAGGAATTTCCTTAAGTACTTTCGTATATTAAATACATCTTCAGAAGGAATGAATCTAATGATGTATTTAATATACGAAAGTACTTAAGGAAATTCCTGTTTCATTTTCCTCCGTGGTCTGACATTGTCACATTCTTAATCACGTGTTTATTTTCGTGATATACACACATATATATATATATATATATATATATATATATATATATATATATATATATATATATATATATATATATATATATATATATATATATATATATATTGGTGTATACTGGCAGCAGGTTTTCTTTCAAACATGTTCATTGAATATGACAGCATATTCTGTATTTATTATTTTCTGGTTTAGGGCTTCTATCCCTCTAACTATTTTCTTAGCATCAGGGCTTAATTGGAATAGGAGTTCTCCAAAACTCATTTTCGTACTTTTAAGGTGAAGAAAAGAAGTGATTTACTATAGAGTGTATTACACTTATTTGTATAATTTGCACGACGTTTCGAACCTCCATGGTTCATTCTCAAGTGAACAATCTTACAATACTAGTTGATTTTATACCCGCATTAGGTCAGGTGATAATACAATGAAGGTGAAAAACATGGTGGGATACATAAGGGATAAACATAGGGGCTGCAGAAGGCTTATTGGCCCATACGAGGCATCTCCTATCTAAACACAAAGATTAATCCAGTGTAATTGGCCTGTTATGTTGGACATTGTCTTCTGTGTTGGCATCGATATGTTCTTGTCTTGTCCTTACTCTCATGGTGGGTAGAGTAAATAGTTCCGTGATTTGGGTGTTCATGGTAGGTCGCTCTATTCTTATGTGAATTGCCTCAAGAATTTGTAATCTTCTTGAATCTTGGGTTTTATCTATTATGCAAGTATTCTTGTTCAACATTTCTCTTGTTAGAGTAATGTCATGGGCTTGTCTCATGTGATTCCTAGGGGCACCAGATTGAAGATGGCATGTCAAACGCCTCGTCAGCTTGGTCGACGTCATACCTATGTACTTACATTGAAGGTTACATCCTTCGTGGGGGCAAGTGTACATGTATACAACGCTTGACTGCTGTAGAGGGTTCTCCGTCGGCTTCGGGCTGTTTTTGATAAGGAGTTCGGAAGTCTTCTTGGTTTTGTAGAATATTATCAGGTTTATGTTTTGGTTAGGAGTAGTGCTTTTTACTCCTTTACGGATTATTTCTTTCATTATTCTTTCCTCTTTTATATGTTCACTGTGCATGGTTGATTTGTAATATAATTTTATTGGGGGTGTTGTGGTTTCTGTTCTAGGTTCTGAATTATACCAACGGTCCAAGTGTCTTCTTATAGCAGCGTTTATTTCCGCGTTGCTATATCCGTTGTTCACCAATACCTGAGTTACTCTTTCAAACTCTCTACTCACGTTGCTCCATTCAGAGCAGTGGGTAAGCGCTCGACGAATATAAGCATTGAGAACACTGGCTTTGTATCTTTGGGGGCACTCACTTCTACCGTTCAGGCATAATCCTATGTTGGTGGGCTTGGTATATACGTTGGTGCTTAAAGAGGTTCCTGTTTTTGTTATTAGTACATCCAAGAATGGCAGAAATCTGCCATTCTTGGATGTACTAATAACAAAAACAGGAACCTCTTTAAGCACCAACGTATATACCAAGCCCACCAACATAGGATTATGCCTGAACGGTAGAAGTGAGTGCCCCCAAAGATACAAAGCCAGTGTTCTCAATGCTTATATTCGTCGAGCGCTTACCCACTGCTCTGAATGGAGCAACGTGAGTAGAGAGTTTGAAAGAGTAACTCAGGTATTGGTGAACAACGGATATAGCAACGCGGAAATAAACGCTGCTATAAGAAGACACTTGGACCGTTGGTATAATTCAGAACCTAGAACAGAAACCACAACACCCCCAATAAAATTATATTACAAATCAACCATGCACAGTGAACATATAAAAGAGGAAAGAATAATGAAAGAAATAATCCGTAAAGGAGTAAAAAGCACTACTCCTAACCAAAACATAAACCTGATAATATTCTACAAAACCAAGAGACTTCCGAACTCCTTATCAAAAACAGCCCGAAGCCGACGGAGAACCCTCTACAGCAGTCAAGCGTTGTATACATGTACACTTGCCCCCACGAAGGATGTAACCTTCAATGTAAGTACATAGGTATGACGTCGACCAAGCTGACGAGGCGTTTGACATGCCATCTTCAATCTGGTGCCCCTAGGAATCACATGAGACAAGCCCATGACATTACTCTAACAAGAGAAATGTTGAACAAGAATACTTGCATAATAGATAAAACCCAAGATTCAAGAAGATTACAAATTCTTGAGGCAATTCACATAAGAATAGAGCGACCTACCATGAACACCCAAATCACGGAACTATTTACTCTACCCACCATGAGAGTAAGGACAAGACAAGAACATATCGATGCCAACACAGAAGACAATGTCCAACATAACAGGCCAATTACACTGGATTAATCTTTGTGTTTAGATAGGAGATGCCTCGTATGGGCCAATAAGCCTTCTGCAGCCCCTATGTTTATCCCTTATGTATCCCCCCATGTTTTTCACCTTCATTGTATTATCACCTGACCTAATGCGGGTATAAAATCAACTAGTATTGTAAGATTGTTCACTTGAGAATGAACCTGGAGGTTCGAAACGTCGTGCAAATTATACAAATAAGTGTAATACACTCTATAGTAAATCACTTCTTTTCTTCACCTTAAAAGTACGAAAATGAGTTTTGGAGAACTCCTATTCCAATTAAGCCCTGATGCTAAGAAAATAGTTAGAGGGATAGAAGCCCTAAACCAGAAAATAATAAATACAGAATATGCTGTCATATATATATATATATATATATATATATATATATGCGGAAAATCCACAGAGAAATATGAAATGAGGTGAACGTTTCGGCTTTGTTAAAGCCTTTGTCAACACCAGACTGACAAAGGAGAAGGGAGAAGGGGAGATGAGTGCACTAACCACCTCACTATTAGTACACTTTCTCGGAATTATTATCCCAGACTTTCTCCAGCAGACGCCTTCCCAGACTTTCTCCAGCAGACTCCTATCCAGACTTTCTCCAGCAGACTCCTTCCAAGACTTTCTCCAGCAGACTTCTTCCCAGACTTTCTCCAGCAGACTCCTTCCCAGACTTTCTCCAGCAGACTCCTTCCCAGACTTTCTCCAGCAGACTCCTTCCCAGACTTTCTCCAGCAGACTCCTTCCCAGACTTTCTCCAGCAGACTCCTTCCCAGACTTTCTCCAGCAGACTCCTTCCCAGACTTTCTCCAGCAGACTCCTTCCCAGACTTTTTCCAGCAGACTCCTCCCCAGACTTTCTCCAGCAGACGCCTTCCCAGACTTTCTCCAGCAGACGCCTTCCCAGACTTTTAATTAACAGTTTCTTGCCCACCGCTGAGCCGGGCTGCTGCTGCTGTTCTACATAGCCTTCCCGGCTTGGTGCCTTCTTTTGATAATTACTTGAGTTGCTGTTGTTGTTGCTGCTGCTGTTACTGCTGCTGTTACTGCTGCTGTTACTGCTGTTGTTGTTGCTGCTGTTGCTGCTGCTGCTGTTGCCGCTGTTGTTACCTTAGCATTGTCTTCAGGCTGTCTCTAAGACAATCCTATATTCGACTCCCTTGTTAAAGCACTAACGATACGTTCCTTGTACGTTAAGATTGTGCACTGTTTGAATTCCACCTTTGCTACGGAAGGTTCTAAACACAGCATTATATATCTCAGCTATATAATGTTTCCACGTGATTGTATTCCCCCAGCTCCGTGCCCCTCATATCCCGTGCCGGTGGTACATAGTCGTGTTGGCTTAATGCATCTTACTCTTAATTACCCTACGTTACTTGGCAATGTTGACACCTGCCTCGTTCCGTTAGATCCTTCTTAACTGGTTCCTGTTATCCTTATACAGAAGACATTAACCCACAGGATTATTTCCACGACTCTTTATATATGTTTATAACTGCTTGGAAAAGTTTGATTTTATTTACTTAAAGTATCCAAGTGGTTGGGCACCATTCCTTCCCCCCCCCCCCGAGTCCCATCCCAAATCCTTATCCTGACCCCTTCCCAGTACTATATAAGTCGTAATGGCTTGGTGCTTTCTCCTGATACTTACATACTTACTTAAAGCCATTTTGGGTCATGGTTAAACATATTGACCTATTTAGCCTATTGAATGGCTTGGTTTACATGGGCTTCGTGGTTTACTTTGTCCTCGATGCTGGGTAGCTGAGCTGATGGAGTAAACTCGCATTCAGTTGTTGACAGGTGTGCAGACACCTGGCACTCCAGGTGGGTAAGGGACGAGGAGGAGATAGCGAAAATACACTATCTAAATTCCCCCCTCCCCCCCCCCCCGGGGGGTCTATAATGTAATTATCTGGAGTGGGCTTGAGGTTGATGTCAAACGAGGTGAGGCAAGACTTGTCTAGATGGAGGGTTTGGGAGGTGGTTGGGTTGTTTGTGGAGGGTTTGGGAGGTGGTTGGGTTGTTTGTGGAGGGTTTGGGAGGTGGTTGGGTTGTTTGTGGAGGGTTTGGGAGATGGTTTGTTTGCTACCACAGACGTGGCCACACATTTACAATGCTAACCAACATATATATATTTTCTTCTGTTCTCCATAGACACGTTTAGAGATCTGTTAAACATATAGTTCAGTGATTTATTGAACAATCAACCACAGAAGGTGATTGTGGTGCTTTTAAATTGCTAATCTAACCTACATGCATAAATACATATATTTATGGTGGGAGGTGACAGAAGGTGAGAGAT